GCTCCGTGGCTGCCGGCCGCCATCTTGGTTAGGATAATTTGCATATAATCGTTTTAATTGGCTGGTGGCCATGGCTTGGAGCATAGCAGAGGTGCAGTCAATTTGCATGTTTCTCTTAGATTAGATAACTTCTAAATTATGTTGCACTTTTTCATTTATAATCATAAAACATATCTCAAAATCCAAGTAATAGAAAAATGGAACCAGAAAACTTATTCTCTCATCATTGATATTTCTATCTCTCTTTCTTTCTCTTCCTCTCTGAAATCAATATATTTATATATATAAACATCATTGTGAGAGTAGATCATCAATTGGTTGTCTCTTGCATGCCCCTATAAGAGATCAAGCCTGCAACCCGGGCATGTGCACTGACTAGGAATCAAATCAGTAATCTTTTGGTGCATGGGATGATGCCCAACCAACTGAATCACACTGGCCAGGGCTTGATTTTAACATCATTCTGTGAGTTCTAGCCAAAACCATAATATATAAATTTATAAAGTAAGTAAAGGGTATAAAATGAAAAAGTTAAGAGTAACAATTTTCATTTTGGCAAAAGATATGATGACATACCTTATAAGGTGAAAATCCATTAGAAACACTGAGCTCAGGAAACTGGGTGGTTACATGATAAATATTCCAAAACAAAGAGCTTTCCTGCATGTCATACTATATAATAAAATCCTAATATGTAAATTGACTGCGTGGTGAACAACTGGCCTCTATGATGCATGCTGACCACCAAGGAACAGACGCTCAATGCAGGAGCTGCCCCCTGGTGGTCAGTGCACTCCCACAGAGGAAAGCAGCTCATCCAGAAGCTGGGCTCATGGCTGGCGAGTGCTTTGGTGGTGCCAGGAACCTCTCCCGCCTCCAAGGCAGCGCTAAGGAGCAGTGCTGCTCAGCCAGAAGCCAGGCTCATGGCTCGTGAGTAAGGTGGGCAGTAAGAACCAAGGGGTCCCAGGCTGTGAGAGGGATGTCTGACTGCCGGCTTAGGCCTGCTCCCCCCAGGCAAGCGGACATCCCCCCAAGGAATCCCAGACTGCGAGAGGGCGCAGGCTGGGCTGAGGGACCCTCCTCCCCCCAGTGCATGAAATTTCATGCACCAGGCTTCTAGTTTATAAATAAAAATATAGTGAAAAAGATCTTTTTCACAATAATAATAATATAGGTATGTATTATGTAAATAATATGTATGTATTGACAAGGAAGAAAACTATAAAATTGTAAATCTGTAAACATTTATAAATGCTCAAATAAGCATTCCATTTCCTGGATGAGAAAACATGTCTTAAACATATTGATTTTTCCCAAATAAAATTATAGTACTAACGTAATTCCAATCACACTTGCCATATTGGATTTTTGGGGGGTAGGGGAGGGAGAAGGTAGTAGCATGACCAAATTATGTATTTAGTATTTGTTAAGAATAAAAAATATATAATATTTTAAAGAAAAATAATGCAAAGGGCCATCTGTACTAAAAAATAAAGAAAGTTGGATTGGAGAACCAAGATGGTGGCATAGGTTAACGCTGGAGTTTGCTGCCTCAAACAACCACTTCAAAAGTGAAACTAAAAGATGGAACGGACATCACCCAGAACAACAGGAACGCTGGCTGAGTGGAAGTCCTACAACTAGGAGGAAAGAGTAACGCATACGGACACTCAGAGGAGGC